GAAGGGTAAGACAGTACACAATACTGGGGAAGCCAGCACAACTTGTACAAGGAAAGGTCATGGAAGCTCCATAGACACATCCAAACTCCCTGAGGAACTATATTGCTGGGTGGAGGGCTGTGGGGACCATAATCTCAGGGAATATCTAGCTCAATTGGCATAACATAGTTTATATAGAAAATGTTCTACATTCTACCTTGGTGAGTAGTGTCCGGGGTCTTAAAAGCCTATGAGCAGTCATCTAACATACTCTACTGGTCTTACCCCATCAGGAGCAAGGGAGAATAAAGGAAACTAAATACACATGGGAAAGATTAGTTCAAACGACTAATGGCCCACAACTACCACGGCCTCCACCAGACTGAGTCCAGTACAACTAGATGGTGCCTGGCTACCACCACTGACTGCTCTGACAGAATCATAACATATGGTCCTGGACAGAGCTGGAGAAAAATGTAGAACAAAATTCTAACTCACAAAAAAAGACCAGACTCACTGGCCTGACGGAGACTGGAGAAACTCCCAGAGTGTGGCCCCAGACACCCTTTTAGCTCAGTAATGAAGTCACTCCTGAGGTTCACTCTACAGCCGAAGAGTAGCTAGCCCCATAAAACAAAACAAGCCAGCCCAGGGACAAGGAGTAGAAGGCAAGAGGGGACAAGAAAGCTGGTAATGGGGAACCCAAGGTCGAGAAGGGAGAGTGTTGGCTTGTCATAAGGTTGTTAAGTAATGTCATAAAATAATATGCATACTAGCTGTTTAGTGAGAAACTGTTCTGTAAACCTGCATCTAAAGTACAAAAAAAAAACAAAAAAATTTAAAGAAAAGAAAAAAAATGTATAACTTAGCAATTGGTTTCACCTTTCCAGAATACGTGAATGACATCAGTTTAAAAAAAAATAAAAAACCCTAAGGGTTTTTTTTGAGGGGGGGCAGGGGAGGGAGTAGAGATGGACAACAAGGAAGCCACAATCCTGAGGGCTCCAGTTTTTTTCATTACCCTTTCAAAAAGCAAATTAATATTTTAAATTACATTCTTACTGCAGAATGTGGATCGTAATAGAAAGATTGGCTAGCCTCCCTTTCAAGACCAGAACTGGGTAGCACTTTGAACTTGAACATGATTGTAGCTTCAGATCGGGTGCATTTCTTTCCACTTCTGAACCTGAGTCAGTCAAATCTAAGACTTGTTTCTTTAGGGGATTTTAGAGGAGTTGAGACTATTTAGGTTCCTGATTAAGCATCCCTGATTACATTATTTGGGGTGTGAGGTGTAACCTGGCATTGAACACCAAGTTTCAGCTTAGAAGTCTCTTATATTGTGAAAAATGACTCAATTTCACCCCAAAACAAAGTTCAGAAGGCAGGAAGGGGCAGGAAAGATAGGCAAATGGAAAAGGGGAACCCAGGGAGGAAGGAGGTAGAGTGCTGTCACATTGAGGGGATGGCAACTAATGTCATGAAAAAAAGAGTATAAATTGTTGAATGGGAAACTAAGTTGCTCTGTAAACTTTCACCTAAACCACAATAAAATGTTCACACACATAAAAAGAAATTACAGTGAAATCCTAAATCACTGACTAGCTTCCTGTTAATGGTATACCTCTGCTGGATGATCGGGGTGTTCTTTCTTAGTAAATCCTTGATTCATCAACAAGAGGCTTACTAATGATAAAAGTTCAAAAGTTGTTTAAAAGACAAATCTCAGCTCAATTGTTGACTTGGGAGGTCAAAAAAAAAAAAATACCATCACTAAAAACTATGATTAAAAAGATCAGAAATAACTCAAAATTGAACCACCACCATGATGTGACAAAAGAACACGTCCCACCTTGCTTCGCCAGCTGGATCAAGTAACTCTCCAGGTCACTTGCACCATGGCTGGCAAAGTAACTGTGATACTGGAAAACAGTGATGACTTCTAGGGAGAGGCTGGAGGAATGGAGAGGCTCAGCCCGGTCCAGAATTTGGGATACCAGGGTCCGGAACACTGGAAGGGGAAGATACAAAGCAACTTTGAAGAAACATGACCATCCATCCATCCATCCATCTCCCCACCCACCCACCCATCCAT